TTAGACTAGAGGGAGAGGTGTGGAGGATGCTGAACTTGTGCAAAATCTTTTAGGCAACTAAGCAGGGCAAAAGTTCTCAAATAGAATATTTCTAACTGTTTCTTTTTCTCTCTCCTTTCTGTGCCTGACTCCACCAGCTACCTGTGGACATGGTTGCAAGTATGGCGAGTGCATGGGACCAAACAAATGCAAATGTTTCCCTGGATTTACAGGGAAAACCTGTAATCAAGGTTTGTGCATATGCTCCAGAAAGAAGACTGTTGGTTTTCTGTTTTCTTATTTTGTACTATGTTTTTTTTTCATCTTCCAAAGCAGTAAACCAGGATGTTTTCTTGTTTATGTAGAAGAACTTAAGAATTTAAAACTTTTGCATCTCCAGCATCCCAGGCAAGCTCTAAGCCTCCTTCAGCAGACAAAAGTTTGAACCTATATTTTTTATCTCCTATGGGCTGATGACAAGAGCAAAGTCATGTATATAGTCAGAGGATTAAGGCATGGAGAGATTATATAGGAAGGTATCAGAAGAGATGGAAGCCAATCCCAGAACCCATGTTATTTTCTTAACTAGCAGCCCATATTTATTTTTAAATTAATCTCCTAGTCAGAAAGACTAGGAGATGTGTAATTTATCAATCTGCCTGGGCTGTTTGTATATGCTGATGGTATTTCTGAGAACCATCACTGGGAGTCCTTAGAATTACATTTTCAGAAACTTTAAATAAATTCAGAATTCAACATGGAAATATTTCAGTGAACACATTGGTAAGAACTCAGCTTTTTTTTACCATTCCAAAATATGACATCCCTGTCTTGGATCAGATGAAAGGAGCAGATCAATGTGCATGGAGAGGCAAATGAGTGAACTGTAGGTGCTATGATGGAAACATGACATAAAGGCCATACAAATGACTAGGTCTGTCCTTGCTACCTTCCTAAGCTCCTGCAGACTTTGCTTGAAAATATTGCATTGGCACAATAAATACACATATTTTATAGTCTAAACAGCCCATTTATTACACAGTATCTTTCAAACAATATGCCCTAAAGATGTGCTATTAAGTATTTTGGGAAAATCCATCTCTTGCTGTTTCTCACAGGCAAAGAAATTAACTCCTCGATACCACTAGAGAGAAAAGGGAAACAGCAGCTGTGGTCATATGTAACAGATATATAAGTACCACTTACAGCTTCGGCCTCTAAACACAGAAGTTTAATCTCGAAAATTCTTTGGCAGCTTAAATGTTGCTAAAAGGCAACCCTCAGCTTTTAGGTGCTTTCCATACAGTAACTCTATGTGCATTTGACATGCTCTCCATAGGCAACCTGGTCACTTCTGTGCACTTCAGCAAATTCCAAGACTCAGGCTTGCAGGAAGCACTGCACAGACCTACACATGCAAACTCCCTTTTAGCTCCTGGGCTTTTCTACCCTCTGAAGCAGGAGCAGGATTTTTTCAGTGGGGTGGTGGCTGGTACAGACCAGAAGTGTCCAAGAGCTGTTTGTTTTATAGTATACAGTATAGCTGTAGAGGTGGTCATGTTCCATCAGCCAGGAGTGCTAATACCCACTTTTAATTTACTGACAGATGCAGCCTTGGTCTGTCCTTACAGCAAAAGGTCCTGCTGAGCAAGCTCAACATAAGCTAACTAAAATAACAGAGATAAGGGGACTGTATTAGTCTGCCACCAAGTCTGAGCTAAATTAGCCTTATCTCCATAGGTTCTTTTTTAGAGCCGTGTATGCTATTTGTGCATTGTGAGAGATAGGTACAGATAAGCACTTTTGAAAATGTATGGTCTAAATGGAATAACTTTTGTTCTCCAGTTTGCTCTGTAGTTTCTTTGTTAAGAGAGTCTTTATTGGAGTCTTTAGTGGAGTCACAGTAGCACAAAAATCCAGTGTGATTTGCAAGCAGACAGGCTGTCCTTTTTCAAACAGACCCTGTGAATATAATAGAATACAACCCTCTCTCTTCCCTCGACTTAGCTGTAACAAACACTTGTGCACCTCCACAAAATTTATGCTTTGAATGGTCTGGAGGTTTTGTTCCTGTGGTCTGCAGGGTGTGACACAAGAACAGATGCTTCTCCCTTTGGAAGTGGAGTTGCACAAGCTCAGAGCTTGCCTGGAGAGTTGCATCTCTACTGAAATCTTATTGTCAGTCATATGTGCTGTTAAACACATACTGAATGGGCTGCATATGCTGGTGCAATCTATAAATGAGTTCCATCTATTTACTAATCACTACAAGAGGTAGAAGTGTCAGGTCATGGAAGTAAAAAACACAGATGTTGTCCCTTTGTCATAGGCCAAATATCATTGTCAGCACTGCTCAACCTGTACCACACAAATGAACGTTCTAAAATTATTTTCACCCTGTGAAGGATAGATTTTAGGAATTTGAAATTTATTTTGTTTCCAAAAAGCCTTGAAATCCTGGATTTTGAGAAGGATTTAGGATGTTTCATTCTCAGGATCTGCAGAATTTTGAGATCTTTTTAAAGTCACATAATTATTATCATAAATTGTATTTCATTTCTGCTACTGATAACCTTGGCGCTAGTGCGTAGCTCAGAAAAAATAAAGTAAAAATCTTTGTTTCACTTTATCTCAAACTGCTTTCCTGTTTTTAGCCTCATGTTTTTTGCCTTTCTAATACAGAGGTCAACTGGAGGGCTAGAACCAGAAAAAGTCCATTAAAAAAACTCCCAGAAAAAGATTAGCTATGATTCCCTCCAGCCCTCCACTTCTTCCTAACAAGCTGCCAGATGTGGCCAGAGTTTGCATTAATTTTTCCAGTGTAGAGGTCTGTGTATGTTGGATTTACTAGCAGCCTTTCAGCCAGATGGTCTGCTAAACTCTCATCTTGCAAGGGGCTGACTTATTTTCCATCCAGACAATTTCACTCTGGGGAACTCCACACATTAGGCAATATTATCCACCTATATATATATATATGCATGAATATATGTATAAAAGCCCAACACTCACTCAGTTCCGATGACTTCTGCAGATCTGAATGAATGTGGACTGAAGCCACGTCCTTGTGAGCACAGATGTATGAACACACATGGCAGCTACAAGTGCTATTGTCTCAATGGGTACATGCTCATGCCAGATGGCACATGTGCAAGTAAGTAACAGAGCTGATGGAACAGGATCATCTAATCACATCTAATCCCAGCAGATTTTCTTCTTGTGATGAACTGATTTAGCTTATTCAGGATGGGGTCTTTGCCCCTGCTCTCTGGTACCATCACAGCTGAAAGAGGCTTCCTATTTGGTAGTTCCTGGATAAAGTAAACTAGGCCATACTTATATTTCAGTCTTCAGAGGTGTTTTTGACCTGAAAGAAGTAAAATTCTTTGCTTCAGATGAAGAACAGCTAGTATGATCTCAATGTATAGTCCTGCCAGTTCATCTGTTGAATAAGGACAACTGAATGTATTCAAGCAAAGCACCAATATAATTACTTTTTCCTGCAATGAATTTCATGTCATTATTTCTTGCTTTACTTTTCTGTGCTCCTAACCAATTTTTTTTTTATCTGTGTTAATATGCTATCGACAGTTGATGAAAACTGCTCTTACAAACATTTGCTGTATGATCTAAGGCATATGAAAATAGGTATTTCTATCTATCTTCTTTGTCTTCAAGCCAGCATGAAATGGAAAGCCTTCTGCTTTTTTAGCCAACCTGCCTTATCAGACCTGGGGAAGCTTCTAATTTTTAGGTGACAGAGCTTTGCTTGTAGAAAATATCTCATGGACTCCTGAATTTTTATATGTTAATTCATAAGCAGCTTTATTTTAATGAATGGATTTTTGATATTCTGAATAGTTGCTGTTTTTATCCATATCTAACTTAAAATTGTGTGATTTCAACCTAGAATTTTGCTCTTCTTGTTATTCTAAATGCTATTTTCAGGTTCTAGGACATGTGCCATGGTGAATTGTCAATATGGATGTGAAGAAGTCAAGGGACAGGTGCAGTGTCTCTGTCCATCAGGTGGCCTTCAGCTGGGACCAAATGGAAGGACATGCATTGGTATGGTTAGAGAGCTCACTCTCAGCTTCTTTTCTGCAGGATCCCCATAAGAAGCCATATGATTCTAGGGAAAGGTTAGGAAGTAGTTAACCCTCCTCGCTCACTTAAATAATGCTTCTTGTTACTCACAGTGTGATAAAAAGTTTTTATACTTTTTTTAAAACTTATTTTTTCTTGAACTACTGGCCATATAATTATTTGGATAACTCTTATTCCCCAGTACATAACTCAATATTTTGACATCAACAGACAGAGTCATCAACAGATTCAGTTTCTCCCTATTGGTATGAGGCCATTAATTACTGTGCTTTGCCTGCAGGAAGCTGCCCTGCTGACATAATGTATTATAGGATTTGGGCATTTTGTTTGGATGGGGCTTTCTTTTGTTGTGATGACCCACAATACAAACTTCTCAATTTTTCTCCAGAAGCCTCAACATTCCCTGTGAGTTTCCTGTGATGAAGAAAGCATTGGTACTGTGTTCTTCCATAAAGTTAGATCACATTTTACTGCTTCACTCATACAAACACATGTGAAAGCCATCACCAAATGTGAAATTATAAGATTTATTTATTAAGGTTTTTTTGTGATAGCCAAGAACAAATAATTCTTATGCAAATCCCAGTGAGTTTTTTCCTATTTTACCTTCTCATGGATCTGACCAGCATCCCTTCTCCTGCTGTAGACATCGATGAATGCTCCACTGGCAAAGCTGTCTGCCCGTACAACCGCCGATGCGTCAACACGTTTGGAAGCTTCTACTGCAAGTGCCAGCTGGGATATGAACTAAAATACACCAGTGGCCGCTACAACTGTGTGGGTAAGAGCTAGCCCATGGATGTTCCTTCTTCATTCTTCTTATTCCCCCAGAGTGCATCTTCCCTGTGCTTGCCCCCATCACGTTGTCCTGTCCTGGGGATGCTGCCTCAGAAATGGGTAAAAGGTGTCACACTAAGAATATTCTTGATGGACTTCAAATTCTTCTCTGTTGTTGTTTTTTTTTTCCCTGTAGCCTTATGAAAAAACAAATCACTGGCACTTGCAATTTAAATTGCCTCATTGTGATGAGTCAAGATGTGCAAGAGCTTGTTCTAAGTTGACTAAAAAATGCTAATTTTGGTAAAGGTTTAAAGTACCATTTTTTTGTTGTCTTGGTTTCAAACTGTGATGAATAATCAGTCCCACTATATTTTTTTCCTTTTTTCATGTCATTATTGATGAATGTGAAGTAAGTGCCTTCATGACTGTAAAAACAGTTATTTGGATAATTTGAACAGAACTTGAGGGGAAAAAAAAGAATGAAAATAGTAGGTTTCAATTATTTTTCAGGTTTCTGTTGCATGACCAAGTTTCTCCCTGACAAAAATAAATACAGGCAAAAAGTTATCCTGACATGCTCAGGTGTTAAAACAAATGTCAAAACACACTTAACTCCTGTTTCAATCCATTAGCTGAATGCTGGAAGAACAGCAAAATATAACTTACTGCAGCAGGTGCTGCAGGAGTATTGTTCAAGCTGTTGACTACACAACGATCCAAAAGTATTTGAACTACTGAACATGCATAAAAAAGACAATTAATGGGATTTGTTTATATTTAATTGCTATTGGAAGTGAGGAATGGGAGGAAGACCATAAGGCAGGTTTGGAGACTTAAGCTTACATTTCATGTCTGCAAACCCTGAAAGACTTCAAAAGGAAAAAATATTTTCTTTTCTCATACAATATGTGTGCACGAGAGAAAAATTGGACCAGTCTCAGTAGTGAGGATTTTATTTGCAAACTTAGCTCTCACTTTCAGACACACCAGACTTTGGAGTCAGTCTTCCTGCTACTTGTTTGTTTGCTGACTTACATTATGAGAGGACCTGTCAGCTGCTATAAATGATGCAATCTGGATAAAATGTGAGTGCTGCAAAGATTTGTGTACCAACATGACTCCCTCATGTGGGAAAAATCAGAAACATCTTTGTAATGGAACAAAATCAAATACTCTTGGTGCCTGTACATTTTCCTGTGAGTTGAATGTAGTATTTTCTGTTGAATTTTCCTTATTATATTTTTTTTTCATGCAGCATCATATATATGCTGGAATGTGAGAGATATCTTAAAGATCTTGACATCTTGGCATGCTCAGGGTTACTTTCCATTGCATTCTTTCTACAGCGAATGAAAGAATGAGAATGTTTTGGTGAGCTCTTTTTTAATTGTTGTCACCCATTCTCTCAGTGTTTTGTGCATTTTGTTAATAGAAGAGCATGTGCAACCTATAGTTTGAATCCTGTTCTCAGTCAGAAAATCACTGCATTCACCTTGTCTTTACTGGGATGGATGTTTTCCATGGATGCATATGACAGCATCTGTGCGTTTGGAGCTGACACCAAGCATTCTCTCCTAGTGTGAATCCTTCTGCCTCTGATGGTCACAGCACTGTCTTGGTCTGACATTAGTTCTGGAAAGAGATGGATGGCACAAACAGGCTGTCAGGAGCCTTGGCTTTTAACAGTTTTCACTGCAGCATTTATATCTTTCCCCAGATGTAAATGAATGCGTGACAAATAGACACAGGTGCAACCTCCATGCAGAGTGCCTCAACACACAAGGATCCTTCCAGTGCAAATGCAAACAGGGCTACCAAGGAAGTGGGTTTGATTGTGCTGGTGAGTACCACTGGATGTCAGGAATAGTGCTGTGTTGTTTTTCTCCAATGATTGATCATTACAAGGCATGTTCTGAGAAAAGTCATGCTGAACAGTGCTGCAATACCAACAAAGCAAGGCCTCTCCACAAAATAATATATTAACTGCATGACTCATAGCTTAGTCAATACAAGTATGCCTCGTTCAAATTAATTTTGCCTGTAAGTCTTCAAGTCTATAGGACAGAGAGCAGAGTAGAACAGAGAAATGAATTTGTCTTGAAGAAACAGAGAAAATATTTTTTAAAAATTCTACTATGATTTCTCAATGAATTCCCAAGGTTAGCTCTTTGGAGGGATATACAGTTCCTCCCAGAAGGCTAACTTAGCAAAAATGAGAAAAGGGAGATAAGCTGTGACTTCTCTGTTAAATTGTTTTTACTTTCTTTATTGAATATGGAAGGTGTCCTATAAAGATATAATTTCTCACTTTAACTGGATATGACCCTTCAAGAAGAAAGAAAGAAAAGCTGTCCTTTCTATATATTTAAAATGAACCTTTTAATTTATACCTTTATTAATCCTGGCAGATGTTTCTCCTGCAACATCATTAAAGATATTTTCCTTAATAAGACACTTGACTTCTGCTCAAACATTTTAAAAGTTTTTGCCTGTAGGAGATGAAGTTTACATAATACATAAATATTTTCAAGTAATGCTTGATCAGATATATCTCATGATTATAATTCATGGTTACAGATATTCTCTGAGTCCTCTATTGTTCATGTTCCTACTCCCACTAAGGTAGCAATTGAAACTTACAATACATACTGATAAATTAATATTTTCACAGAATATTTTGAATTGCATGGGATCCACTAATCCAGCTCCTGGCCCTGCACAGGAGAGCACCATTTTGTTAAGTGTCAACTTTCAGTAAAAAAATGTTGACTTTTAACAAGCAAAAATAAACACACAAAAACCTAGCTGTTACTGAACGGTTTGATATGGACATAGATTACCACAGCAGAACTTGTTTAGAACATTCTTCTACTCAAATTCAATGTTGAGCCAGGTTCCTTGCTAGACCACATCTCTTGTGATATGCCACTGCAGCTCACTGAAATGGAGGGATGCATTTGACTGGATATCAAAGCAAACTGACATGACACATCTTGGTATGTGATACAAAATGTACCATAGGTGAAATGTTAAACAAATACATCTCTGAGAAAAATAGTCTGGGGGTTTTTTGTTGTTATTTTGGTTTTTTGGTTTTGTTTGTTTGTTTGTGGTTTTTGTTTGTTTTGTTTTGTTTTTTGTTTTGTTTTGTTTTTATTTATTTGCCTTTTTAATGAGAATGTAAAAAATTCCAGGGATATTTTCTTTTTGACTAACTCAATGTATAAAACATTCTTTCATCAAGCAAAACAATTCAAAAAGAATGATTACTTACATATAAATAACAGAAATATTTTCACTTGTGGAGAGAAAATTTTTGATGTCTAACCCTGTTAAAAAAAATCAGTTCTGAAGTCAGATGATTCCTTTCTTCTCATAGGTGTTTCTCTTACATAGTTTGCCCTCTGCCTTACTTCCTCCTGTCATATTTCCAATTACCAAAATCCATTTGTTGTTTAGCAGAGGAAGGATCCATGCAATTTATAAACTTAACAGAACACACTAATTGGAAAAGAGATTTATTATAAGAGAGGATAGAAGAATAACATACAGTAATGAGAGCAATCAGAGCCACGGGCAGGTCAAAAATTGAGGGTCCAGCTAGAAAGTTGTAAATAACAATAGAGGAAGATTAAAATTCAATCAGTGGTAGGTGAACCCTGAAATGTAGAGATGCTGAATAGACACTGGTTTCTCTGGTGGTAATTCTCCCACATATAGCTTCTCTTTTAAAGGAAAGTAGAGGAAATTCTTTTAGCTCTGAATGCTTCAATAGCTGCCTTTTACTGTAATCCTCAAGAACATCAGACCAGAGTAACTCATGGGGGCAGGACATGTCTTGCTACTGGGAAAAATGTTTTTTTCAAACAGTGACACAAACAATTGGATGTACCAGCCAACAGTGAAACACTAAGTGTTCTTCATGTCATATGGCAATTGTGGAAAAGCTTTGCCTTTACTGCAGCCAAAAGAAAATCTGCTGTTGGGTTTAATGGGATGAGGACACCCTCTTGGGCATTTAGGAGCTTAAGGCTGTGGCTTCACACTTCTTTTGGTGACAATGGCTACAATTCCTAAGGCCCATTTCAGTTCCCAGCAGGGCTTCTGCTGCAGCTGAACAAAAGCCTTCTTGAATAAGTCTCCAGTACTCCACATAATTATTCCCACAGAGGTGGAATTCTGTTTTCACAGGGAAGCATTAGTTCTTAATAGCAATTGTCTCTAGTGCAAAAAAACACTTGGCTATTATGGAAGCAGTATTTGCTTTCTTAAAAAAATGAAAACTATTTTAGTATATAACTTAATTTTTGGATTATGAAAGGAAAGCAATCAAGCACAATGCTTATAATTAAATTCCTGTGGCTACATCTCATGCCATCAAATAACCTAATAAGTGACATAACATATAATGCACCTTTGCAAAGAAGGTGGTAGAAATTCTTTCATTCAATTTCTATGTCAATACACGGACCTGGAGAAAGCTGCTGAAACACCAGGCTGCAAACACTGCTGCTGGTATGGATATGACCTGTGATTATTAAGGCTCCCTTTGGCCATTTAATACTCTTATATGTATGAAACATTGGAGACCATTTCTGAACTGTCTGTAGCACACATGTTTGAGAATCCATAGAGATGGTTCAATTTAAACAATCCCTAAAAGCATCCTAGTCATTTCCACATCTGGCCTCTATCTTGCTGCAATCTGTTGCTCTTCTCAGGTTCATGTGTTTCCTGATTTCCTATTGTGCATTGAAAACCCACATTTCCCTTGCCACGTGCTTTTATGTGTATCTCAGCTTTTATTTAAGAATAGAGTCTCACAAGGTTCCATAAGCAATTAAGATTCCTGGGAAAAAAAAAGAACCTATTTTTTATTCATTTATTTGGTCCTACAAAATAACAGGAAAAATGATCACAGTCGTTAAGGAGTGATCACTTTAGGATCACTCTAAGGAGCTCAACAATGACACTCTTGTTATTGCCCAGCTAGAGGCAGAGGTTACTCTTCTTCATTATGCTTTGCTGGGTATCTAAGTGTCAATAAAAATTCATGTTGGCTCTCTCTCTTCCTCTTGTATTATTCATTCATTTTTTGCTGATAGGGTAACAGTTAGATCCTATATATAATTTTGCTTTCTTATAAACTTGCCAATCCTGAGAAAGGTTGGTTCGACATAATAAAGTTTCAAAGCCTTAGAAACAATTGTGGTTATATTGCTGGTCATATTCTTAAAATTTAATTCACTATGGAGTCAAATACTGCTGTCACTCTTCAGTGAGTAACACTTGGGCTTTTGTCACCACACATTTCCTACTAGATGCCTTGCTGGCTGCTGTAGTCATGTATTAGGCACAGTCCAGAATAACAAACTTGCCCTGATTTCTCAAAGTATCTTTCCCTAAATAAGACAGAAAAAATGTTAGAAATCAATTGGGGTAACATCACATTTTGGTAGATGATGTTCCATGGTGCTTACAAGAAAATAATAGCCCAGAATCTCTCTTTTAGCCTATCTATCTGAAAGCTTTCTGACTCTCTTAAGAATATCTAAAAGAGGTTGATAATTTTTAGAATGATTTCTGGAAGCATGTTATGCTGATCTAATCTTTACTCACATCTACAGACTCCACCAACACGTGGTAGATTGTTGTCTCTCTCCCTCAACACTTCTTCAACTCTTACATAAAGAAGTTATAAAGGGAGCTACGAAAGGATTTGTAAGCCAACCTCCTAGGCTTGTCTCTCACCAGGATTTTAAATGCTCTGTGAGGTGTGGGGGTGGAAGCAGTGGGGTGCCTGCTGGAGTGCAGAGCAAGCTGTCTCCTACTGCATCCCCTGGATGGTAAGGTGAGCACCAGCTGCAGTCACAGGGTGTGTGGAAGGAGAACAGACCCTTGTCTGTCCCCCTCCTGTAACATCCCCTGGGTACTTCCCTTTACACAATGCAGCACAGAGTCAATGGGTTGGCATATACTCTTTATGTATTTTTTTCAACTCAACTTTGACAAGTTGGTCATTAGATATCCTACACCAATCCATTTCATTGTGTGTTTATAATTTTGTACAGCAACTGATGACAAATAAGTTTAGCCCTTAGCCACTGTTTGTCTTTGTTTCTCTATTTCTTGCCTTAATTCTCTCTTATTCAAAGAAAGAAAATACCTTTGAAAACTTTGAAAACTGAGATATTTTCATATTAGGGCAATAAACAGAAACTGCATGAGCAGGAGGCATTAATCTGCATGCTTCCTGATCAAAGATACGTAAGGAAGAACTTGAGCTGAAGTGGAATGCTCTACATTTCTTTGCACTTTCCAAAATTCTCTGCAGTCACATGGATAGATAAGTGCACAAATGTGACCAACATGTCTGCATTTATCTACATATTTTGAGGCAAAGGGTCCTGAAAAATCACTGCCTCAGGTGTAGCACCCCAGAGTGCCAGAGAAGTTGAGCTACTCCTTCAGGCAAGTCCACAGGCCATGGATTCAAAAGAACAGACTGAGTTTGAGGTGATGTATCCTTACATTGCATTAGTCCTCCTGAAATTCATGGCTAGATACAAAAAGCCTTAAATCTACACCTCTGGCTACTCTAAAGATGAATGCAAGAAAATTGGAAGAAAACTAGTGCTGTGTCCTGAAATATGCTTAGTGTCTAGGGTCTCTGTCTCCACAAACGTGGAGATTTTCATAGTGCAGCAGCAAATTGGAGTCTGCAAGCACATGGGAATTTATACCTTTTCATCCCCCTATTTTTGTCACTCCTGTCAGTAGGTTTTCCACTCTGCTAAATTTTGTACATACAAGAGATTGGTTTTCTGACACCACATAGGTTATTATGTTGAACTGTAAGAATTTTCCATTTCATGAGGAAAACTTCAAAGCAGAAACTAAAGCAGATATTCAAGTTTGATGAGCAGTCAGTCCTGTGGCCTTGAAAATCCCCATGTTAAAAGCCTCTCTGTTAAAAGCATGAAGTTTCTTGTTACTGATAGTCAAGGAGGAAATTTGTTTGGAATTAAGCTTTCCTGTTAATTTTTATTGCTGAATTCTGAGTTTAGATCTCAGGAACATTACATCCTTCATGACATCATCCTCTAGAGGATATTCAGTACAGTATTAGTAAATAGCTTATTTGCAAGTATTTGACAAGCAAGCTTATAAGTTTTATCAAAAAGAAGGAAGAACAAATCCTCAAGTCTGATTTTCAATTCATTGGCATCTGTTTACTTCAACAGCAATCTCAAAAACACCTAAATGCTACAGTGAACCCAAGAGTCTGATTCTGTTCCTGACATACTGAATAGCATGTAGCTGCACTTGCCATAAATAAAATGTGACAAATTCACAGTGATAGAACTGTATTTTCCAGAAGTGAATATAAATCCAGGGAATTTCCCTATTTTCCTACTAGATTGCAGTTCTTTTTTATTTACTGGTGTTTTTTCTTCTGCTGTGTCTCCATGAAAAGGGCACAGAGAAAACAGTACTACCCAAGATTCCAAGTCCAGTCCATCTGTCTCAAAGTACTACTATAAAATTTTCATAAATACAAAGTGAGGAGCAAAATATGAACATATTCTTGCCCTGATAGTAGAATCATTAGACAACAGAAGCAGAGGGAAATAAAAATAGCTGTCTTCCATCATAATTTTTTACCCTAAAAGACTATAGGCACTGCAGCATCAATAATGATTGAGAATCAAAGATGGGAAGCAGTATATGAGGCTATTCTGATCTACTGATGAAAATAGTTTCTCTTTATGAAAGAGCTTTTTTATAGCACACTGAAACTGCTCAGTTTTCATTGTTTCCTCAGTGGTTCACATAAAAGACTCAAACTGTCAGTAGTTTATGACATGGTTGTGCACAACATTTGATAGTAGTATCCAAAAGGATAATTCCAGAAAAATTAAAATTACACCACTTTATCCAAAACTATAAGATACAGCATTTCATGTCCAAGAGGAATCATAAAACAGTAAATTCTCAGGAAATGTTACATTTATGTTCTAGTCCATCTTGGGATTTCAAGACGGTAACAATTTATCATTCTTAGATGCTTCTCTGAATTTAGTTTTTTACCCCTTACAATTAAATAAGAGCTAAAAGAAATACGATGGAGGAGCTTGATGTATGTCTTCTTAAAATATCCTCTCTTTCAGTAGCTTTCAGCCTGACATGATAGGAAAATTAGACCAGAGAAGTTCACAAAAGATAGCCAAGAGAAATGCTCATTATTATTAGGCTGCAGTTGTTGTGGAGGGAATCCCAGCTCCATGGACAATTTTAGTCCAAAAATTGAAGAAGGATTTTTGGGTTTTTTGCCTTAGCTCCAGTGTAAAAATAATTTAAGTAAGGGTCTCTGTGGCCTGTGTTACTCCTGTTACACAGGAGTCCAAAGAGATCATTACTGAGGGTTGCTTTGGTCTTTTCACTGTAACTCAGAGCTGTCTGTAGAACAGACATGTCCACGTGTGTTTGGTTCTGTGCAGAACTGAACTTATGTCTCGTAGTAAAGAGTTTAATTCTATGGGTCTCTGGACCTTGTAAAGGACACCATGGTCCCATTTAAAGGCATTGTCACTGCTGAATGTTTCCTCAGATTAGTATTTTCTATTTTCTTCTTGGTTCTAGCTATCCCTGAAAAGTCAGTGAAGGAAATTGCAAGAAGCCCTGGAACAGCTAAAGACACAATTAAGAAACTTCTTGCACAAAAAAGCAGTGTGAAAAATCATAAAAAAATCAAGAATGCAATCCAAGAAGCAGCTGTGACCCCACCTTCTAAGATGCAGTTGCTGGACTATGAAGTTGGTATTGATCTTGGTGGGAGCTACAGTGAGGAAGAGAAAGAAACTGCAGCTGCTGCAGAAGAGGTGGGACAAAAGTCAGATGAAGAGGAGAAGGAAGATTTTGAAAACCAAATTGATGAGCGAAGCCTTAGAGGGGATGTCTTTTGTAAGTTTTTTGTTTTTTAAAATATCTGGCTTCAATGTAAATATGTGTAAACACTAGAAAATCACAACAAAACATTACAGACACTTTATTAGAATTTACTTGTAGAAAATGAATCATAGAATCATAGGTTGGTTAGGTTCTAGTTAATGCTTTTGAAAATATGTTTGAAGACTTTGAGAAACACAGCAAGAAATTATACAGCATATTGGAACTAGATGGACTTTAAGGTCCATTCCAACCCAAGCAATTCTATCATTATAACTAGTTTTTAGTACAGTTGTCTCAGTCAAATATTCTTCAAGGTAGTAGCAAAAATAATTATGATGAAGAACATATGCTGACAATAGTTCATTCATTACATTTTCTCTTTTCAAAGTATAGAAAAATAATAAAAACTATCCCACAGCAATTAAAATTATAATAATAAAAATGAAAAAAATAAATTAACATTCAGTTTACTGCTATTTAACCTGGAAAGAGAGATAAATATATATTTTTTAAAGGAAGGATCATTTTAAAGTCCTCTGGAAAAAAATGGTCTGTAATTGTAATTCTGTAAGACAGCCAAGAAAAAATGTAATTATTCACTTAATACAGTGGAGAATACAAGCTTCTTTGCCAAAGGCATGCTCCTAAAATTGCCTTCTTTTTTTGTTTTCAGTAATTTGCCTGTTTAAGTTAAGAATATAGACCTATATTTCTTCCTCAAATTATGCTAGGGAGTTGATAGACAGAACAAAATCAGGACTTGGCTCACCAATCTCCTCCCTTCCTGTAAATATTAACAGGGAGTACTAATGGCATGTTTCAAGTTTGCTGACAATACCAAAATGGGGAGAATGACCCATTAATTGAAGGGCAGCACTGCTATTAAAGGGATCTGGCCAGGCTGTGGAGGTAGACTGACAGGAACAATATAAAGTTCAACAAAAGCAGATGGAAAGGGAGAGAAAAGCCTCATGCAACATTATGGATTTGGGATGACTGCTTAGGAAGATGCTTTGCAATAAAAGGCAAGTTTTGCCCTTCCCATTACAAGACAAATGAGGATGATGGATGGATGGATGGATGGATGGATGGATGGATGGATGGATGGATGGATGGATGGATGGATGGATGGATCTCAGACATTTCAACAGGTGTCTTTTTTGGCCTGCTTGGACAGGTCAGAAAGGATTGCCAGGAATACTGTCCCTAGGGTAGGGTCAGCCTGGGTTTTGGTCAGAAGGACAAAGGGCTCTGCTCCCTCTGCCTGGTGATCAAAGGAGAACTCGGTTTCCTGTACCAGTCTACGTGACCTGATGCCATTGCAAGGGGAGGATTATGCAACCTTCCAGTTGAGTACTCTGTGCTATACTAGTTGGAATGCACTAATTTTCCAGATTTCAATTTGAGTGAGAGTACACAGGGAAAATCCTTTGTCCATAGGAAAATCCAAATAATATATTGTTGTTGTGATGATTGCTGAGGTTCTTTTCCAAGGAGCTTCCCAACCAAACCAGGACATTTGAACACTATATACCCAGGCTAGGCAGAGAGGCAGAGTCTACTTGTTTCTATAAAAATTACCTCTACAACTGACAGCAGTAACAATGAATATTACTGCTTGAAAATATTAAATCATTGTGGTTCACCTGTATTTTTGCCTATACTGCCTTTGTTCCAGTCACATCTGGCTAGAATTTTCCCTTATTGATCTAAGAGATTAATATGCTGAATTTGTTAGAGAAATTTTATTTTGCTAGGGGATTCTGGCAGTAAGCTGGTGCTCTGCTTCATGCAGAGATTGCAGCATGCCCAAGATGTAATTTCATTAAGTTTGTGAACTCAGTATTATTTGTGGCTTTTTTGTTTGACACCAAGTGTGATTCAAGGAGTTAAAGCATTGTGCCATTTTCATTTCAGCATACATTGCTTAACTGTGTTTTTCTCCTTTTAAATTTCCATGTGCTGTACTTGATCCTTGTTATCATAAAAACTCAGTCATGATCCAGGCACTTAATTGCTTGAACATTTGGCTTTAAAAACACTTTTAATTTTAATGATATTGAGTGATCTTTCAGAGAATATCATTATCTCAAATTTACAGCTCATAAATTTGTACATTTTTTCCTTTCTTTGCTGATGTCTATTCAGCAGATTCCTTTACTACAACATTAAATTCCTTCATATAATCCCCTCAAATATTCACATAGCATCTACCATTTGTATTATTAATACTGGTATTGTTTGTCTTCTGGGAAGAGCAGTTAATTAGGAAAAAATAGAAAAGTCTCTTTAAATTGATGTATTATTTTATCATAGTAGTTTTACTACATAATAAATACATAGGGAGCCACCGAAAAATATTGTAGGAAATTATTAAAATAGGCCCAACTACCAAAATACTGGACCTTCATGAGAATTGCTATTTACTAATTTTTTTAAAAAGCCCCACACAATAGTTAAAGACAGCAAAGTGAAGCCCACAACATATAAGAAATGTCAAAACTAAGGTCATCAATGAAAACTTAAAGTTTTTGCTTATATTTTTGTATCTTATGATACAGTCTGAAATTACTTCAAATTACTATTTTGCATGGTATTCTTACCTTGTCCAATATGAAGGAAGGACCTGTCCTGTTGTGAAAGGTGCAGTTTAATAAATAGGAGTATTTATTTATTGATAAGCTAATTATTTATTGATATGACTATTCATCATTATTTATTTATTCATCATTATTAAATAGTTTAATAAAAATGAGAGTAAACCATAGCATTGGAAGCTCTTTATTACATGAGAAGTATCCTTTCTGTATATGGCAGAAGACATAGATGGGCCAAAGTACTTGGTTATATAAGCAAGGATTGCAGAGATGCTACACTCAAGCTCTACTGAAATAATTAAACATGACCTTAATTCTGACAATTTCTAATGTTTTATTGCTTTTTGGCATTGGTAATTCAGGATGATATTACCAACTGCAACTAAATTCTATATTCTGTACTTCACGGATTTATGAAATTCACATTGTGCTTAGAACTCCTGTAGTATCCTGTAGCCATGTTATTACACAGAGGCACTTCCTTCAGTAGCATCAAGAATGATAAAGAGGGATTAGTATTTGGCAATACTAAAAGTGGACCACTTCCCTTATGGTTTCACAGCTCTTGATGCTGAACAAGAGGATTTCCTCAGCTAATCACTCTTTTCTAGTAATTACACCACTCTGTGAGCTATTAATGCTCAGACCACAGTTCAGTTCATAGATACACGTCAGATTTCTGGCAAATGTAATTATTTCAGAACAGGACATGGCAGCAGAGAAATGGGATATTCCTGTGAGTCCAACCTAGTGGTACAGCATATATATAGGAAGCTCATCTTAAATTTACTACATCTTATATTCTGCTTGATATTTTTTTACAGTGCCCACTCTGTTTTCTTGGGTTTTGTTTTTTTTAATGGGCTTGATGACATCAGTTGTTAAGAACATGTGGCACCATGATATGAAGGGGTTTGTATGTAGAGATTACATATCAGCTGTTGCTGCACATAAGATGATGGGAAGGCGTCCACAGTACAGAAAGAAGGATGGACCCTGCTGTGCCTAGAGTGGGACATATTGTGTGCTTTTTTTGGTGAGAGCTGGTTCTTAGGTACCATGAGGGGAGACCTGCCTTTCTACAAGACCACTTGATAGCAGAAGAGCTAAAAAGATTAATTATGACTCCTGCCTATTACTTACGAGGGAGTAAACTTTCGATCCTGGCTGTGCATGAGAATGATCTGATTAAAATATAGGCACTTTTCAAGTGGTAAGTTTTCCTTGAAACCTTTCTGTAAGCTGGAGCTTGCAGTTTCTCATAATATGCAGCTGATATCTTTCAGTGAGTGAAAGACCTGATTGGAACGCCTGACTGAAAACAAAAATAGATTTGGAAACAAAACTGGACACTTTTTCTGTCCATAACAGTTCTTCGCTTGATAGCACATGGCCACACCTGCACGTATCTCTCTCAAGTGAATTCAAGTGTAATTCAATAACTTAACAAATAAATCATTCTGGCAGCTGTTGTCTTCTGTTAAATCACTCCACTCTTTCCCAAACTGATCATATTTTAATAGCTGTCTTCATTTTGGCAAAGGTTTTCACAGTCTGAGCCTCTTTCACCAAGTACAAGGCCAATTTTATGGCATGAGAGTAAACTTAACACCTAATCTGGATGTGCCCATTCCTAATTGTGTATATGTAAACAAAAATTAATTTGGAGAAAGATGTATATTAATCCTTGCCTCAAGTATGAATATTAACCAGGTGATCTAAGCAATGGACTGGGTTAAGGGGAAGCTATGACAACAAGAGACAACATGCTTCTGGCAATTCATCAGAAAGTTCATAAGATTGCATGAACTTTCTCCAATTCAGCACTTCTGGAAGTGCCTCTGGGCCTCTTTGTTAGTGTGTGTTTTCACTGGTTTACACAGAGCAATGTTTGAGAGTTTTGAAGGAGAAGAAGGGTTAAGAGGATGGCATAGCCTTTATGGTGCTAGGAGGCTCTGGATTGCAGTCGCTTCTGAGTGCGCGTGAGCACTTAAAACTGAGTATGTGTGAGCATGTTGGAGTATTTAAATGGAAAGCCCTAGCTCAGTCAAACTCATGGGAAAAAAAAACTCCCCTCTGAGCAAATGTGCATCCATGTGAAAATAATGACTTTTAAAATATTTGGCATTTGCATATGTGATGCAATGCTGAGTAGGGAAAAGTAATTTCCATAGCTTTTCTTAACACAGCTGCCCATGGGGTGGGGCAGAAAAGTGAACTTCAGTTTCAGGCTTTCCACCAATACATTCTCTAAAAATAATCCAAAGGCTTCTCCCTCACTCCTCTAAAATGGCACTTTTAAACTCCTCCTGTTTTCATAGATGGTCATGAATATATCACAGGTATCATCTGCTTATGTGTTTGCAAAAGATAGAACACCAGTGAAAGCTAATCTTTCCCTTATCTCATGTGTGATTAGTTACTTACACAGGGTATGCATAAAGAAGTTGAGACTTATGATTATTTTTTTAGTGAGTGCACTTATCTATTAATCACTTAAAATAATACAAAACAAACTTAATAATAGAATTTTAAAAGATTTCTATTAATTTAGAGATTACTTAGCATAAACAAGAATATGTAATCTTCTATCTCACCAGACTGCAGAGGATTTCCCTTGCTCTCTGAGGCTGAGAAATAATACTTCTTGAGTAACCACCTCTCTCAGGCCAATAGTTTAGACAATGCCCCTAACATTCATTGGTACTGCTTTATTGACTCTTCCAGTTTGACACAAGACACATCAACCAATTTTTACAAAATAATTTGCTCAGGGTGGTTACCAAAACATCAGTGTGTGCTTACCAGCTGTAGCAGGGAGGGTGAAGAAGAAGCTGGAACCTTTCTTCCCAGCCAACAGCAGAACTTGTGGAAGAACTGATCAGGTATGCAGGAGATGTGCACCCTAGCAGAGAGTGTAACTTCAGAAAAATAACTTTCTGGGGCTTCTGTTACAGAAGCACCAGCTACCACTGCCCTAAATACAGGTGTTTGGGCCTTTGATGCCCTAAAGTTTATGGCTCTTACAAAGTCCATTTTTTGACATTATCCATTTTTTGAGGCTGCTGCTGGCAAGCTGCTGCCGAGTCACTGTCTCTGCTGTCTGGTAGAGTTCAGTTCCATGTGATCATTATAGCAAGACAGCAGATCAGCCCACTGAAGAAAGATCAACATTTTATGACCTCTTGAATCTGTAATTCAATGGAGCTGTAGCTCCAGTGCTTATAGGTTAGAAGGCTCAGTGCTGTGGAAAACAATTTAAGCAAATTTTTATAATTCAGAATATCTAACCGCAGTTAGGAATATGGGTTTGGTGGTGGAGTGGAAAATACATATATTGACTTATTTAAATAAAATATGTCAACTGGTATAAAGGAATAAAGTTCCATTTTCTGTTTCTGTGATTACTCTGTACTTGACAAGTTGTTTTTGCTAGTTCCCAAGGTAAAAGAAGCAGCTGCCTTTGGCCCTCATCTGGCACAGAGGAAAATTCCAGTGTCGAGACAAGAGCAAGAAGGTGGCTTATTTTTATCATACAGTATTTATTTTCCTGTGTATTGTATCTTTTTGTGACAACCTGTGTTAGCTAAGTCAGAACTAGTTTAAAAGCCTTTAACATAAACCAAAGATTTTGTGAACACATTAGAGACAGTATCTGGCCAAACTCTGCTACCAGTTCCAACGTTTCCTTTTCCAAGCATGCTTTTTATAACTGTTTATAACCCATGCACAGAAAGTTTCCCCACAGTAGAATTTGACTTGCAATTGAATTTCACTTGAATAATTTCATAGCCATTAAAAAATAAAGTAGGTTCTTTTGTCTCTAAAATGAAAACATAGCATAGCACACAATAATCTTAAACAAATAAAATAGATGTGCTGGTTGACATTTTTTCCAATTTAGAAAGCAGTAGTCTTAGAAACAATGGATTTAGAAAATAAGGTCGTCTAAATGTCATGTACTGCGTGTCTCTGTCTCATGGTAAAATACATTAAAATAACATGAAGGATGCTTCTTTCTGAGGAATTTCAGATGGCTGATGTATTACTCTTAATCTGATCCGTCATGCTTGCATTGCACAGTGTCTCTTTGTGGGTATAATGCTTTTCATCTGCACAGTCATGAAGGCTGTGGTGTGCTCTGGCTGACATCCTTTTCAGGGTGCTCTGAAGGTCAACTGATCTGGGATAGTCCCAGCTCCATACAGTTGGGCTATCAGGTGCTGATGTAAGGGATTCTTCTCCTGGGAGGCCAGTTTCTCTCAATGGATATTGAATTGGAACTTGAGCTCATTGCAACTACAGCAGTGTAAAAAATGGAGAATGGAAGACTCAAAAGCTGGCAGATCTCAATTCCTGATGCTAGAGTTCAACACTAACAGCTCCACTTCTACTTTGGGATTTGCAGGCCATCAATATACAGAAGTCACAGCATATAAACTCATGTGCAGGTGTGAGTAAAAAGACACTGAGCTAAAGAAAGAATTACTACATAAATTCTAATATTTTGATGTTTTGCAGTTTCATCTAGGTCAACACTATCTGAATTCAGATTATAATTTCAGAATGATCTGTACATTAATAACTGTATTAATAAAGAGCAGAATGTTTTAACAGTACTTAGGATATAGTGCTCCTATTATCTCTGCCAATTTTTTTTTCAGTTGATTGCAGCTTCAGTCGAGGGGTTTGTGACTGGAAACAAGATGCTGATGATGACTTTGACTGGAATCCTGCTGATCGAGATAGAGGTATTTAGATAATGCCATCTAGATAGGCTTTGATTTGATGGCTTACTCCCTCCAAAAAAAAGGGGGGGAGGTGGGGAAACATAATCCAGGATTTTCTTTTCTATCAGTGGGTTATCTTTATAAAAGAAGAAAGGAGGCAGAGGATGCTAGAAGTGGATATTGTTTCTTAGAAATGTCCAATAGAAAATAGTAATCAGCAACATATTTCAACACAAATAAATCAAAAGTAAGGAAAATTATTCAAACATAATTGTTTAGAATTTTAAACTACAAGGCTATGGAAATCTTATCAACTACATGTTGTGTCCCTCCAAGATTGGTAGGACATTTAATCACACATCTGTCATTTAGGTGGATGTGGCAATGTAGATGCCACATGGCTTAAATATCACTGGGATAACTGCTCAGAAATCCCAAACTGTGCAAGACAAACTCAGAATAAGCCAAGGGTAAGGCTTCAACAACCCATACATGAAAAGGTACCAGTGGGAGCCTGCTGCAACCTGAAAAAGAGTTCCATGAGAACAATGTAGGACTGCTGAGTGGGGGCACATAAAAAGGTGTGCCTGGATGAGTTTCTTTGAAAGGATCTTTCTCTCCCTGTGACACAGAAATGTTGCAGAAGTTGCTGCAGTAATGACCAGTGGATCCTACAGATCCTGCAGGCTAGTTACACCAGATCCCACATATGCATCCTCTTATCTCAGTCTTTCCATGCTAGTCTTTCTTCACTAATCCTTCCTCTCCTGCTCCATGTAATTCCCTAAATCCCTTCTCTGTGCTATGACTTCCAGGAAAACCTTACCCTGGCCTTATCCTGTTTTCCTGAACTTACATCTGCTGATTATGACTTCATTTATGGCCCCAGATGTCTTGTTCCTTTATGACTTTGTGTATGTCTGTCACTCCATTGGTCTTCCAGAACTTGGGAAATAAGCTGTCAGTTCCTTTGTGAATTTGTCATCAATGCAGAGAACAGTGGAGAGAATATTATGCTAGCTCAAGTACTGAAATAATCTGACCACAGAGGCACAGCAGCATGTTTCAGACTTGCATTTGAAAAACAGATGGTTTTGCCTTCACAAGATAATACAAGGAGGAATGACTGTAATTGCGAATGAAATATGAACTCATCTCCTCTATAAACTGATCTGATTTACAACAGTACAAGTTTATTCCTTCCTAAGTACACTTCCTGCTGCTTTTCTCCAATGTGATTTTAAATTATTTAAGTAAACTAGCTTAAGCTTCCCCTTATTTTCTTAGCAAACATGTTCATATTGCTAATAAATAACACAAGTGCATTAAAGATGATTTTAAAAATATATATTTTCTTTTTACAAGGTGATGGCTTCTACATGGCAGTTCCAGCTTTTGTGGGACACAAGAATGATATGGGGCGTTTAAAACTTCTCCTCACTGACCTCAAACCAAAGAGCAGCTACTGCTTGATTTTCAGTTATCGGCTTGCTGGTGAGAAAGTGGGAAAGCTTCGAGTGTTCCTGGCAAACAAAAAATCTACTCCTGTCTGGGAAGAGAACAAAGGAAAAGATGAAAAGTGGAGAACTGGAAAAATAGAGATATTTCAGGGGGCTGAAACAACCAACAGTGTGAGTATAACACAGTTTATTAGCCAACAACGATAACTAACACGCTGGTTTTATTTCCTAATTCTCAAGTGTTCCACCAACTGTTTATAGGCGTCAGCAATCAAAAAGCTTATCTGAAATAGGAAACAGGAGCCCACATTTTAGGGGGCGTAAAGCTTATCACCTGATTGTAATTTCAGAACTGAATCACTCCAATTGATTAGAATACTGATGCCAGTAATTCTGTCATTTTGTAAAAATACTGCATCACATCATAAATTAACACAAGTAATCAAAATCTGCCCTTAATATCTCATAAAACAGAAGCTTACATACATGCCTAGAAAAATGAAAATTTTTCACTCATTTAATGGAAGAGGTTGCTCTCAAACCACACTACATCAGACCATTCAAAGCAAAAGGAGACATCATCTATAATCAAGGTGGGGGCATCACCTTAGGAGCAGGATGTACCAACAGGGAACACTGTGCACTGATGTATGCCTGAAAACTGCCTCAATCAGGACTTCAGACAGTTTCTCCTCGAAATTCTGGGGCCTGCTTTCTATTTGTGTGATGGAACATTTTCAGTGCTGTGTAAAGGTTTCTACAGTATAATTGAATACAGTGAATGTAAAGGAAATGCAAGCCCTTTTCAAGGTCCTTTGCACAGCTGGAATGATGTAGAAAAGCCTTTAAATAAATGAGAATCAGACTATAAAATAAAAAACCCAGACATCCTAGTCATAAAAATAATCCTCCTCTTTATACATAGTATACATACTATATTCAATACATATGAGAGTGTGTAAATATATATAGAAGAGGCAAACAAAATCTGAGGATTCAAATAGATCAAAAATGAGCAGTTCTAATGTCTTGAATAAATGAAATCCATGAGCATCACATGCTGTGATAAAACTACATTCTTATAAGAGTATTTCACTCAATTTGCATTTTTTTACAATGCAAGTAAAATAATCTTATTAAAGTAATACATCTGGTATTGTAAATCTGTGCAGTGAATTTTAAACCTAGTTAAAATAATGCAGAAAGGCTTTAAAAGTGGCAAATATTCAAGTCATTAAGTCCTGTGTTGTAAAAAAATATTCTTCATTTATAGCATTATAACTAATTTGAAGTTGCTAAATGGTTGAATAAACTACATTTTCACCCTTAATACATATCTTTTCTTATGACAGATCACATTTGAATCAGAACGTGGGAAGGGTAAAACTGGAGAAATTGGAGTGGACAATGTTATGCTAATTTCTGGTCCATGCCCAGAAGACACCTGATAATGGACATTTAACTATACCAGATTTAATCCTATTTTTCACATTTTATTAGTAGTGTATTTTTTGTATTCTTTTTTAATTAAAAAACAAAACCAAAACAAACCTATAAAATTGTGCCTTGAATTTAATTCAACAATGCAAACAGAAAAACTGATGAGCAAGATGCAGATTACACTTTTTAATGAGTTCTTCTAATTTTAATACATGCATTGAGTGTAATACTACTGTATTTTATAATTCAAGGTCAGGGTTTCTGAAGTATTATTTGTCAAGGTTTTTTACAATTCTACATGCTTTTATTTCTTAAAAATCTTCTTGAGACTATTCATTAGTCTTCTGTTTCATTTCTTCTGTTCTAAAAGAACATAAAGCAGTCTTTAAGAGCATGCTACTACTTCTGGTAGTAACATAATTAACTTCTTAGGGGGGTATGTTGTTCCAAAAATCAGTATGCATCACCCTGTGTGCAGTAAGGCAATCACACACAGAGCCAAGGTGTTTGTTTATTTAAATACTTGTGCAAAGATGGGTGGTAGACAAGCCCATAAAGTCAGCACACCAAGCAAAAATTATGACCACTATTTATTTGTTGCTAATCTTGATATATTCCACTTATCCAGTATATATTTAGTGTTTAATACTCCACTATTGCTGAGTTGTGCTGAGTTGGCTTCTTATCTTGGGCAGCCTGATGGCCTTCAGTGTTTACTATTGTATTATTGCTGAGCTGTGCTGAGCTGGCTTTGTTAATTTCTTCTTATCTTGGACGTCCTGCCGTAGCACACCCTTCCTCCCAAATTTTGTTACCCCTCTGGGTCTATGATCTTTGAAGCATGTCGATCCCCAAACTTTAATAAATTAATTATATTGACAAAAAATTTACCTTAGCTATGAGGTAAATATTCAATCTATTGAACAAGTAGGAAGAAAGTGAACACTTTCATTTCCTTTTTGATGGAGCTAAGCAAGTTGATTGATGTCTTTGAGGAATATTTTCATTACTAATAAAGTATGTAAAATATCTTGATTGTCATCAGTGTCTTTAAATCATACAAATCAATGTTAAGAAATGATCCCTTTATAGTTTTATAAGCATTTAATGTTCACCATTATGCTACTAACTGGCACGGAAATATAAGAGCAAAAAGAATGACCCATTATTAATGTTTAAGAAGCTTCACATTATGTACCGAACAAAAGGCTCCTGCTGGATTGCAGGCCTACTTTACCCCATTAGAGGTGAGAAAGAATGATTTTCATTGTCCAGGAGACAGTATGACCTAGTGGCCACAAAATAAGACTCCTCTTACACAATTGACCCTTCAAACATCAGCAAAAAGGGTGGGGATTATCTGCCATCCCCAGGAGCAGGAAGGTGAGCAGTACTTTCCCCCACAGAGTAGGAGCTGCTACCCACGGCCATGCTTGCCCATGCTCACAAGTGCACGTCAGTGTACACATAAACATTTCGGGGACCAAAATCCAGGTTACATCTTTTCTGAAAGGAAGTCAAATGGCAATGCTGGGAAAGATAAGAACATTATTTTTGTCTTGTGATCCCTGTGGAATGTACCTAATGGTCTGGATTCTGAGAGAACAGAGAAGCCTATGGAAAAGCCCTGGTTCAGCCAACATTCAGTTAAATTCATGTGCAAATAATTTCCTCTTGGTTAGTTCTGTGTATCCCCTTCCAGGCTGGCTGCTCACTGTTTATTATTAGTAACCCTCTTATTTTAGCTTTTGTATGAAGAAGGGTACATCCAAAATGATTGAAATAGAATTTTGTACTCTAACACTGAAGAATTTTGAAGAATTCAGCCTATAAGAATGTAAGCTTTTTAACAAAAACACTACACCAGTTCAAACACCTTGAATTGCACCCATGAAGCAAGTCAGGAATGCTTGAGAGATGTCTTGTTGAAACACAGTATTTTTGCACTGTGCACGCAACTGAGGAAAGGGTAGGCAAAACTGAAATATTTGGAAAGTTTACAATGGCTATGAAACAAGGAAAAGCCTCTTTTTTGTTAGAACTGGTTTGTGTTACAAAACAGATGCTCTGGGAAGTGTAAATGGACTTCAGATTTGACATGGGAACCTGTTTCCTGGTGTCTTTGGAGTTGCTGTGGAAATTGCAGAAAAAGGACTTGGATAAAGCAAACCTTCTTTATTTTAAGGGCAAAGACTCTGGTACCTTCAAAATGAGGGCAAATTTCCTTCAGTATCAAAATTATGCTGGCTGTGATTTTATCAGGAGGCCTGAATAACCTGGTCACAGTGAGGCAGAAAAGTGAAACAAGTATTTTCTGGATTCACTCCTTTGTCTGACTGAAGTTGAACTATTCTTACTGAAGATAAAAAAAATTTAAGTTCAGTTTTACTGAAGTAAAATTCCATGTCTAGCTTCAAACAGCAATAACTTATACAGCACCTATAAATACTAAGAAGCTTAAGAATCATTACAGTCTTGAGTGCTAGAGTGTTTGAAGAGCAAATGATGTATATATGTGGACCAAACTGAGCCCACCTAAAAAAGTGTGTCTGGGCATTTCTTGCATGGGCAGTTACTGGGCATAGAAAGATAAATACTGCCTGTGGAAAGCATGATATCTAAAAGATATTTTCTCAATACACAAAGAACAGAGAAAAAAACAAAATTAATATGGAGCTAATATTTATTTATTGTTGGATGAATCATAGCCCACCAAGAATCATCACTGGGACCAATACTTTAGTGGAAGAATTCCATCCAAAAGTCAAGTAAAAAACATTTTGTATTTAATGGAACAAGTAAGAAAATTATTTGCACAGATCAGTAATAACTTACTGCAATAGCTGCCATAAGGTTTTTTGTAGTAGAGTAGAAGTAGTTTCCCATTTTGTTTGCAATGATTTATCATACACAAGATAACTTGCATCATAGCATAATTCTAGCATAATAAGATCTGAATAGAAAAACTGAAACCTTTTCTTGTTGTGAATAAATTTAAAGATAGCTTCTGCAGAAGCAACAAAATAAATCAATTCTGTACAGCCAGTCATAAAAAGCACATCAGTGCATTAGCAAATTAACTAGTACTGTTTGCAACATTCATTCTGAAGATGGAACTGCTAAGGGTAAAACCTACATGTTTCTCCTTCAGATGAAAAGAGTAAAAGGACGTATTATGCCTACAGTCATTAATGCCTCAAAATGTTCCTGACAGTTTTCCATTACTGTGAAATCCATTATCGGCTTGATTATTTTAGACAGCAAGGAAACTGCACTGGCAGTATTTGAGCAAGTTAAAGTCATGCTGTAACCAAGTGGCTTGAACTTTGGTAATATCATTTGTAACTCTTAAGTCTGATAACACACTTTAGAGACTACCCTGCCTGAAAGTTAATGAAAAAAAAGAGCTTCTAGCTAATTGCCCAAATCTACACTGCATCCTTCAAAAGCTACTTAACAGATGTGATCACTTAATCTTGAATGTTGTAACAAAAGGTTTCAAAAACTTTTCTTCAGCTGCCAAAAGAACTAACCGAGGCATTTCATTTTGACCACGATAAATACATGGAAATGCTGAGGCATGTTCCCAAAAGATGGTTATCTTTTAACCTGCAGTTGAAAGGAACTTAAAACATTTTCCAGCTATTAGATGTTATTTTATATATTAAAAAATTATTCCCAAATGCAATTTTTTCAGGATCAAAAAGATCAAGATAATGAAGAGAGGTTTTCAATGACTGCTGCTCATATTTACTTCATAACTGGTATATTGTTAATGACAGATTCATACAACTGCATATACTGGAGGTATTGTAACTCATGACAATATACTAATGAAAAGGTAAATACCAATGAAGTGTGAGTAATTTACTTGGTCATATGTGCAACTGTTACATTAAAGCTCATCACAGCAAAAGATTTTTAATATAAAAGAATTTCTAATTTTAACAGTTACTAACCTCTTAAATACCTGAGTTTAAAGTTTGATTTCAACAAAATTAGACATACAATCTCTTGGACCCTCCCCAGTTTTTCAGGAAGGGTACATTATACAATTGTTGAGAGAACTGATTATTAATTTTTGATTTGGGAAATACTAAGCTGGGGAATATTTAACCTTCTGTGATTCAGTGATTTTTTTTAAAAGCCTGATACTCTGAAAACCTCTCAATTTCTCAATATTTCTGTAATTGATCTACAGATGACAGTCAGCCCTCTTTGGCCATTGGAAATCATGCTCCGGCCAAATTAAAAGGTCTACTGGCACCTGGACTAATGCTGCTTAGAAATTCCAGTTCTCACACAGAGGGACTGATGCAGAAAACACTCAGCAATCCCCCATTGTGCAGACAGAAGAGACAGCTGCCAAAAGAGACAGCAGCCATCAACTCAGATGCCAAGCAAGACTCAACCAATTTCTATTTCAGATACTCCTGGGCAGAAACTTTTCTTTCAACAGATTTGAGAAATCATTTTAAAAGTGATCCTTTTATGTCCTTAGCAAAAAGCTAACTTCAATAACACATTTAAAGTGTTTTATTAATTAATCTAAAATGAAAGGGAAATATTTCAAAGTTAACAGTATGTGAAATAATACAACATATGATTCAAAAATTAATGTATTTAATTCTAAAGGAAATAAGATCTGGGTTAAAGGAAACAGCATGTTCCCAGACATCCTTAAAACAGCATTTAATTATTTTCTTTCATATGCTTCCCTTTACTTCCATGAAAAGACAGTGCTTCTCCAAGGCGTAGGATGGTTTGCAGGAGCACTAAATAGCTCCTCAAGTATGTTCTGTCAGAGCCCAAGCTGCAGCTCTCCCTCAAATGATTCCCATCAAGAGCTTGGGAGTCAAAATGCTCCAAGAATCACTCCCTGGAGGCAGTTCATGTGCAGAAGTGCCACTTTTTTGTTGTGTAGAAGAAGTGACATATTTATTTTTCTGCTGTTTGATCTTGATCTTCAGAAAGACAGTAGCAAAGTTACCAGCTCATTCAGGCACTTGAAATCTTTGTCCAGAGCTGACCGCCCTGCTCCACTGCTTTCTGCTGCTGTACAGTGCTTACATTTGATGCCCAAAATCTGCTTGCTGAAC